CTATCAGGAAATTTTAACTTGAAACCAAAAAAACAGATTAAGAATTCAAGGTATATTCAATCTTCATTTGACAATTTGTCGGTTTTTATGATACATGTTTTATTTCTAATGAGCACATATTGTACATATTCATGAGGCACAGTGTGATATTTCACTACGTGTACATAAGTGTAATGACATCAGTGTAACTGGCATATCTATCACCTTAAACATTTATTTTCTCTAGGTGTTGACAACATTCCAAAATTCTACAAAATATGTTGAAATGTACATTTTATGGTTGTCAACCATGGGAACCCTTCTATGATACAGAACACTGGAAGTTAATCCTACACCTCTGTACCTGTTAACCATCCTTTCTCTATCCCCTCTCCCTGACAATCACATATTTTAAATTTAAAAATAAATAGATCAGGTACATTAAGAAAACACAAATTCCAGATACACGTGGGCATGGGGTTATAACTCAATGGTACAAAACTTGTCTCGCATGAGTGAGGCCCCGGGGTTAATTCTCAGCAGCAGGGCAGAGGGGAGTCCATATAATTTACAAATATGCTGACAATTGATATTGTTATTTTATTTGTATATTAATCAATATTTGTGACCTCTATAAATCAATCTTAGTATATATCACATTATTCATTAGTCCTACTTCTTTCTGAATAATTCTACGTAAACCTCCAGGCCTAACACCAACTATAAGTAAAGACTTTGCAAATTATTTTTTATGATATTCCACATTCAATGTATAATCATTCTATAGTATATTTGTGATAACTAAATGCTTAATACCAGTGAGTGTCCTTAAAAACCTACCCTTTCCTGATATCGTCTTTCAAAGAAAGCCATGTCATCCTCATCAGGTCTCCTCGAGGAAGAATCTTGACTACTTGTACCTACTGACATTGAAACAAACTAAGGAATGACATATTTATGACATATATTCTCCCAAAGTTGAAAAAAATACAATGAAATATTTCTTCCTGCTAGGTGATATTTTATTTTCTGAATGAGAAATGGCCCAAGAAGTCCCAAGACCTAATTCTTTTTAAGAAAGAATGGCATCACAAGACAGAAGTAAACCAATAGCAGCAAACATTCTCTCAAATATTCAACTGGCTGTATTAACACAACGTAGCTATTCCCTATGAGTACACTTAGCTATGTCCAACTTTTGACATTACA